AGAAGACGGTGAGCCTCGCTACTCTGATCTCCTTCCTGAACATCGGGTGCTCGCCTATGACCTCGCACTGGTAGTCTCCTGAGGTCGTGTTGGAGATCCCCTGGAGAACCACGTCGCGTTCGGTGGAGACCCAGCACTGGTGGGGAGGGAGGGAGAGGAGGGGAGGGGGAGGGGGGAAGGGGAGGGGGGGGGAGGGGGGAGGGGGGAGGGAGAAGGGAAGGGAGAAAGGAGAGAGAGGTGAAAGGGGGAGGGGGGGGGGAAGAGTGGAGAAAGGGAGAGAGAAGAAGGGGGAGAGAGGAGAGAAAGGGGGAGAGAGAGGGGGAGAAGAGGGAAGGGAGAAAGGGGAGAAAGGGGAGAAGAGGGTGAGAGAGTGAGAATAGGGGGAGAGAGCGGAGAAAGAGAGAGGGGGAGGAGGTTGGAGAAAGGAGGAGAAGTAGGAGAGAGGGAAAGGAGGAGGAGAGGGAAGGGAGGTGATTAGGTTGGAGGATAAAGGGAAAGGGGGGGGGGGGCATAAGAATGAGAAAGGGAAAGAAATTAACCGGGGGGGAGGGCAGGGAAGAAAAATACTCAAATTAGTTTTTTCTTGTGAACTTATGAAATAGATTCTAAAGTAGATTATTTAATACCAAAAAAATATTACTTGGTAACTCATCACCTCCTGATCCACTAAATAAACGCTAAATATTTTTTTTTTTCTCATCTATATCCGTTAATTCATAAAATCACAGATACCTATATCAAAAGACCGCTACCATAAATAAAAGTGCAATAGATGAATTGATAAATCGGTTGACTAATTTTCAATAAAGCTATAAAAACTGATCTATGTTATATTCTCTTTTTCACGAAACACACAGACATATACACATACATGCACTAATTCATTCTAATTTCTCTCTCTTCTCTCTCTCTATCTTCTATCTTCTCTTCTCTCTCTCTCTCTTTCTCTCTCTCTCTCTTCTCTCTCTCTCTCTTCTCTCTCTCTCTCTCTCTCTCTCTCTCTCTCTCTCTCTCTCTCTCTCTATATATATATATATATATATATATATATATATATATATATATATATATATATATATATATATATATATATATATATATATATATATATATATATATATATATATATATATCTCTATCTCTCTCTCTCTCTCTCTCTCTCTCTCTCTCTCTCTCTCTCTCTCTCTCTCTCTCTCTCTCTCTCTCTCTCTCTCTCTCTCTCTCTCTTCTCTATATATATATATATATATATATTATATATATATATATATATCCATCTCTCTCTCTCTCTCTCTCTCTCTCTCTCTCTCTCTCTCTTCTCTCTCTCTCTCTCTCTCTCTCTCTCTCTCTCTCTCTCTCTCTCTCTCTCTCTCTCTTCTCTCTGTTATGATAGAGAAAAATACCCATACACACAGATAGACTATACCAAAACAAAGCAATGTCTCCGTCCGTTAAAATAATGTTCCAATCAATTCTCAAAACAGTGTCGTCCCCATTCATTCACAAAACCAAAACGTTCCCATCCAGTCACAAAAAGTAGACCACATTTATTAATTCCCCAAAAGGCAAACTTTCTCATTCATTCACAAATAATGAACCATACCTGCTCTCCCATTCATTGAAAAAAACAAAACTATTCTCACTCATTCACAAAAGTAACCCGTTCCCATTCATTCACATAACACAAACCGAGTCCATTCATTCACAAAAATCCTCAACCTTTCCCACTCATTCACAAATCAGAAATCATTCATTCAAAAAAACCTCTTCCCACTCATTCACAAAAATCATACAAATCCATTCATTCACAAAAAACTCAACCTCTCCCACTCATTCACAAAATCACACGAACCCCATTCATCCTCAAACACAAAAAGAAGCAACGACCCTCCGATCCTGCTTTTTACTCACATCAACATTGACCCCCGCGACGTCGTAGGTCAGGTCATCAGCGCAGCGGTCATCGGAGGAGTGGGCCGAGATACCAGGCTGGTACCGATAGAACTCCTTCCCGTCCTTGTACCACTTGAGTGTGTACAGCCTGGACATGCCCTCCTCCTCGTAGTCACAGCGGAGGTGGATCTTGTCGTTGACCAGAGCCACGGCAGGGACGTCGAGTTCCTTGATCCGCACGCAGGACGTAGTGCCTGGAGGAGGGAGACGAAGAAGAGGTGCAGGATGGATGCTACGTCGGGTGGAGGAAGAAGTAGGAGGGAGGAGAAATGTTATTGGTGTTTTTTTTTTCTCTTATCCTTTCTATTTCTTCTTATTGTCTGGCGAATCCTTGATTGTTATTGTGATCCTTTCTATGTCATATCCTTTCTATTTCTTCTCTTCTTAATGTATGATAGGAAATAAAAGATAAGATATGAATCGATACAGAAAGAGAACATAGAAAGAGGAAGATAGTACTGATGGGTGAATCTGAATGATACAAAATATGGAAAGAGTCAGTAATCGGATAAGAGATAGAAACGCAACATAATGATATATTGTATGATATACTAATATAATTGTATGTGTTTGTGTACGCATATTTGTGTACGTATCGCCTTTAGATGTCAAACGCAGAAGTCGTAAGTGAAGTCGACGCCGTGGGTCAAGATGTAGCTAGACTGCAGTTTATCAGTCTATTAGGAATGACATGCAGTCAGACTAGGCAGACGACCCTAAACAACCTCTAAATACAAGAAGCTCATAAATTTACATATATGCTACAAATACGTGTATATGTACACACACCACACACACACACACACACACACACACACACACACACACACACACACACACACACACACACACACACACACACACACACATATATATGTATGTATGTAAGTATGTATTATATGTATGCATATATGTATTCGTATATATTTACATACATACCTCTCTCTTCCTCCCTCCCTTCTTTATCTCTACCCCTGGCTGTCTACGTCTCTCCCTCTTAACCTGTCTCCTTATCTCTAATCTCCCCATACTCCCCTCCCTCCTCCCTCCCTCTCTCCCTGTCTCCATTTTCCTTTCTCTCCCTTCCCCCCCCCTCCCTATCCCCCCTTCACACGCGCACAGATGTTCATAATCCCGGGATATTTCCAAGTTCTTTATCTGAGAAAAAGGAATTAAGGATGGGATGGAGAGGGGGAGAGAGAGGGGAGGGAGGAAGGGAGGGCGGGAGGGAGTAGAGATATGAGGGAGGGAGGAAGGGCGGGAAGGAGGAGGGAGGGTACTGGGTCAAGGAGGGAAGGGTTACTGGTCAAGGAGGGAGAGAGGGAGAGAGGGAGAGAGGATAGGGAAAGAGTGAGTTCGAGATATCAGGAAGGGAGGAAAGGGGGAGGGCGGAGATAGATAGATAATAGGTAGAGAGGGAGAGAAGGAGGGAGTGTCAGGAAGGGAGGAAAGGGAGAGAGCGGCCAACAATATTCAGAGAGGGAGAGAGGAAGGGAGGAAAGAGAGAGAGGGAGAGCGGACAACAATATCAGGGAGGGAGGGAGAAGGGAGGAGGGCAGGGTAAAGTTTCAGGAAGGGAGGAAAGAGGGAGGGCGGAAAACAATATCAGGAGAGGGAGAGAGGAAGGGAGGAAAGGAGAGAGGGGAGAGCGGGCAACAATATCAGGAGGGAGGGAGGAGGGCAGGGTAGAGTGACAAGAAGGGAGGAAAGGGGAGAGCGGAAAACAATATCAGGAGGAGGAGAGGAAGAGGGAAAGGGTAAAATGCCATAGAGGAAAGAAAGGGGGAGAGGGCGAGAGCGTGTTATCAGACAGAGGGAGGGAGAAAGGGAGGCAGTGTGTCACAGAAAGCTTAAGGGAAAGAAATGGCAAGGGAAAAGGTAAGAGAAAAAAATGGTAGTGAGAGGGAGAGAGAGGAAAAGAATGGAAAATGGTAAAGAGAAAATAAGACAGAAAAGGGGAGAGTTTAAAGGATGGGGGAGAGAGGAAGGAACAAAGGAGGAGAAGGGGATGGTGGAGGAAACAGAGGAAGAGAAATGACTAGCAAGAAAGGGATGAGAAAGACAGAGAAGAGAGAGAAAGATAAGGAAGAAGGAAGAAGAAACAGGCAAGGCGGGAGGAAAGGAGAGAGAATATAATAAACAAAGGAGAGAATAAAGAGAAAATAAGAGAAAAGAAGGAATGAAAAGGGAAAATGAAGAGCAGGAAGGAAAGGGAGAGCTAGAGGAAGAAGAACAGGCAACAGAACAGGAAAACGATAGGAAGGGAAGAGGATGAGAAAAAAATGAGACGAAAAAAGGGAAAAAGAAAGAGAGAAGGAACACGAAAGGAGAAAAATGAAGGGTAAAGAAAAGCGGAAGGAAAAGAGGAAGGGATGAATGAAAGGAGAAGAAAGAGGAAGAAAGAGAAGAAGGGGAAAGGGAGAACGAAGGGGATCAAGGAAGAGGGAAAAATGAAGAAGAAGAATAAAAAGAAATGAAGGAGAAGGAGGAGAAGAAGAAGATTGGGGGAGGGGGAGAAAGGAAGAGGAATAAAGAGAGAAGGGAGAGGAGAAACTAGGAGGAGAACGAGTGGTATAGAGGAAAGAGAAGGATGATGAAAAGAAAGAAGGAATAACAGAAGTAGAAGGAAGAAGGAAGCAGGAAAGAAAGAGAAGAAAAGGATGAAGAAGAAAATAATGGTAATAAGGGAGAGAAGAAGAAAAGAAGAAGAAATAATAATAATAATAAGGAAAAAGGAGAGTAGAAGAGAAAGAAAAATAAGATGACGAGAAATAAGAAGATGAAGCAGAAAAATACGATGAAGAGAAATAAGAGATGAACAAGAACAACAAGAAGAAAACGTAAGAAAAATAAAAATAAAACAAGACCAAGAAGAGAAAGTAAGAAGAAAATTAAGAAGAAGACCAACAAGATTCCTCTCATTCTTGTGTGTCTCGCGTCCTAGTCCTCGCCAGTCGTCGAAGTTATTGGCGATCATCCATTTCTGTTGATAAAGTGTAATTGAAAACCGATACATATTTCACGGTTATTTATCTTTGCTAATGACT